CCGGGGCCTCCTTACTGGTCCTCGAACATGCTGAGCGTGGCTTCCCCTCAGGCCTTCATGCGGCTGATCTCATCGCGGGCTTCATACTTACCCAGCGGGTCCTCCCCACCACCCAGTCTCAGTTCGCCGTCTAGAGATGAGCTCAGAGCTCTCCCTGCCTGCCTTCTCTCTCTAACACCGCTCTTTCCTCAGTGCCTGTTCGTTGCCTCTTTCTTTTCTCTCCGCCTTTAAGATAATAAGCTTCATAAGACAGGATGGTCTCTAGGTTCCCCACTGCTGGTTCAGCACCTGGGACAGTGTCTGGCAAATGTTAGGTCACTCCGCCAACACCTTGAACAAATGGATTTTATTTGCAAAGAGTAAAACATGAACTCCCATTGAGCTTTATCTATTTTTGAAAGAGAAAAACAAAACTAGTTATGTTATTGCATCATTCATGATGCTGAAGAGCGTGTAACAGAAATGGCCTCCGGCCGCCCTAATGGACAGGAACTTCCTTGTGAGGTTTCCAGCCTCAGTGCCTGGCTGAGAGCAGCGCTCAGAGCACAGGACAGAGGCAGCGGGACAGACAGCCAGCACCGTGGCTGGGTCACAGCACAGGCATCCGCAGGTCTTCACATCGCTCCGCGGCATCGCCTGTGAGCTCAGAAAGTCTCCGTGTTACAAGCTCACTCATTCAGGACCCCAGTCCTGAGGCGTGACAGCAGCGGACCAGACCTGACTCCGATGCCTGCGCGGCTGGGCCAGGACAGAGGGGAAGGTCAGCCCTCAGCCCCCGTCGGTGGGACCTTCCACTGTGCCAGCTGCATGCAGGTGGGGACGTTCCTCCAGAAGGAAGACCAGGGTTTCCTGTGGCGGTGGCGGCAGTGGAGGCTGAGAGCCCGTGCAGGCCCTGAGAGCTGTGGGGACTGGTTTTGCAGTTTCTCTCTGAGTCTGTTGGTGCCCTGACGCAAGCAGTATGAACATCTGCTTCATCCTTCGTCTCCTTGGCTCACAGTGACCAGAGCGTGTGCTAGAGAATGATCTCACGACACTGCAGAAGGCGCCTGCGGATGCTCAGTGGCTTCCTGTCACCCTCAGAGTAGACCCGGGTCAGCCAGGCCCAGGTGCCCCAGGATCTGCCCCCTCCGCACCCCCCCCCCCCTCACTGGCTGCTCCTGCTGCCACACACGCCTTCCTGTCTCCTCTGCCTCAGCCGGTCACCTCAGAGCCCCGGGCGGAGCTGTGGGCGCCGTGCTCCTGACCCCATGCCTGCTGTTCATGGGTTTCTGCAGGCGCCGTGTGCTGATCGCAAGCTTCCCACAGGAGCGTGAGCTTCGGGACCAGGGCCTTAGTTTAACCCACATCTCTGTCCACGTGCCCAACAGGAAGTTGCGGTAAGCACTGGAATGAATGAACAGATGTGTTGTCGCTTGGAAATTGGTTCCAGAAGAGGAATCCACAGTGGCAGGGCTGCTCCAGGCGGCCAGCGCTCTTGGTTATGTCACTGCCACTGCTTTACCCGTCGCCTGCCTCAGCAGGGCCCCTTGTCTCTGTGTGAATGTTGGAGCCGTGGAAGTGCAGAGCCTAGGCCTGCCTCAGACCCCGAGTCCAGTTTGTTTAGAGCCGGCCCGAGCCTTGGCGACGGCGGCTTCCCAGGAGAAGGCAGGGCCCCTCGCCATGGGGCTGCCGTTCCCTGGGGACCTGGTGATGCAGCTCTGGATCTCAGCCCCTCCCTGTTCCTCTGCTGTACCGCGTGCAGGGTCACGCACTCCGGGAGGCCTGCTCGGTAGGTGATAAAGGAACTGGGAAACACTTAGGTTTTGTGGGAGCAAAACATGCCGTAAGGCCCTAACTGGTTTGGCTCAGTGGATAGAGCGTCGGCCTGCGGACTGAAGGTCCCGGTTCGGTTCTGGTCAAAGGCATGTACCTTGGTTGCAGGCACATCCCCAGTGCGGGGTGTGCAGGAGGCAACTGATCGATGTTTCTCTCTCATCGATGTTTCTAACTCTCTATCCCTCTTCCTTCCTCTCTGTGAAAAATCAATAAAATATATTAAAAAAAAAAAAACACACACAAAAACGTGCTGTAAGGTCACTGCCCCCAAGTGCGGGTGAGGTGCGTGGCGCTCAGTGGCAGCTGCGGTTCTGGCCCGTGTGGTGGGCGCAGGGCACCCGCGTGTGAGCTGCTCATGGACGCCTTGGTGTCTGAGGATGCGGCCAGTCCAGGGAAGCCGAGGCTTCCTGGGAACGTGGCGGGAAGCGGCTCTGACGTTTGCACTCAGTGGCCGGCTCTCTGTCTGTCTGTGGTTGTTTCTAGTCCGGTGTCATATGACCCTCACAGTGCAGAATGTTTGGAAATAATAAGCACAGCTGACTCCACAGAGACATATACTGTGTGGGCATATCTGATACGTGTATGTACCGGTTTATACTGTGTACCTCACACCTTTTTAACCAAATAAGTTCAGACCATGCGTTCATTTCATAACTTGCTCTTTACTTATCACATAGTAGATGAGAGCCAGATCCGGGCAGGTGTGAGCCCTATTCCTGCGATCGGACCCAGTGCCGCGGGCAGCTCCATGCTGGAGGCTGGGGGACGGGTCCTGCGGGAGGGCTGTGGTCAGTGGGGGAACATTTTGTTTACCTCCATTGTTTAAATTTGTGGGTCCCCAGAGTGTATCTAGAGATGGCATCTGAGTGGTCCTAAACTTGATGCCCTTGAGAACGATACCCAACTCTGCTAATATTAGAATTTAATATTCAGAATCAATGAAAGGTGCAGTAGAATGAATTCCCTCCAGTGCGCCTGTTTGCATTTGAACTTAAAATCCGCCCCTTCCCTTTCACACCAGGTCTGGGCACTTCTTGTCCGGGTTGCGAGACGGGTGCCGCACTGAGCCTGCCTCCCTAGCGAGGTGTTGTGTGTGTGATTCACAAACACAAGTGCTTCTGAGCCGGGGCAGCATGTCGGCAGACAGTTTCTATGTAGGGAATGCTCCTGAGATGCCCATGGAAATCGGTCCCATCAGCCAGGCGTGGGTTCTGTCCCCCGCACACGCTTCATCTCTGCGGGTTGGGCTCACACCGTCAGGATTAACTGAGAAAGGCAAACTGAACAGGCCACGTCGTTTTTTTTTTTGTTTTTCTTTTTGTTTTTTTTGAGACATAGAGGAGTATTTATTTCATGGAAATTAGCAAATGCAAGAAATCACTCTTTCCCCCTTTTTTTATATCAAAGTACATTATTTATTTATTTATTTTGTCATTCTAATGTCTCATATTCTTTATTATCCCACCATCAAGGACTTTTATAAAAAGTGTTC